GAATTTTGCCTGAAACTCTCAGACTGAAGAAGTCTCTTGGAGGAGAGACGAAACGTTTCATTAGAGAAGAACCCGTCCAGAAGACCTATACAACTTTTTTTCTTTCTCAGATAATTCATTTCTAAAACACAAAAGAGGGAACAGAATCAATTTGCCCACAACATCTGCACTTTTTGATCATATTCCTAGGAGTTTTAGATATTTTAGGATTGGCTTTAATTATCTGGGATCTGTAAGAAAGGTTGAATAAAGAAAAAAAATTCAAACAAACTGGCTGACCAGTCACAGCTGGACCCAACAGGAGCCACGGGCCGCTCCCTCTGTGAAGATTAAAATAACTGGTGCCCATGAAGCAGGAAAAGGCCATAAAAAGACTGAAGTGTTTTCAGGAACCTGTTTCCTCTGTTTGTAATGTAATTAAGAAATTAACTGTTGAGTTCAAGCTAAGTTCTGGACGACAAAGAAAGCTTTTATATAAAAGAAAAAGGAAAACATAAAACAACTTATTTTTCTTCAACATAAAAGTCTAATTCTATTTTTTGCTTATCAACACCTGACATTTGGGTTTTAGAAATAAGAGGTGGACTGGATCAAGCTCAAAAAGAGCTATTTACAGCAAAATCATGAATTAAACTTAACAAAAATAGTGTGAACACTTTACCATCAGAGTCATTTACAAATTTAAACAAACTCCTCCCTTTGGATTCTACATCAAGAAGACTAAATTCACCTCACGGTCCAAAAACCATTATCTCAGTCTGTGAAGGTCTATATTCACAGACCCTGAAACTGCAAGTATTTTAAATTTGGGCTGGTTTTTTTTAAAGAGCGGTGTATTCACTATAACACAAAGATCTCACAAAAGTAAAGATCTGATCAGATCTGCTGCATCTAATGGTTTGTTTTATTAAACTCTTCTGTAGAAAGAGATACCTGTAAATCAAATATCTGTTTTTGATTCTCAGTCATTCAAAACATTGTAAATAATAAAAGATAAAATGACTGGACTTCTAATATACAACGCAACACAATCTCTAGTTGTTGTTTTTGCATTGTTCTATTAGGATTTTAAAGTCAGATGTCCGAAAACAAATCAGATGAACAAGGATTTATATATTTAAAGGGATCCCCGATTAGATTAGTTGTAACATTAGACTTCATTTAATAAACATTTATTTTAACTGTAAAGTAAAGACTGTAAAAATACTGTAGGCTGTTCAGTTTTTATACATTTTAAACTAAAAGTTAAAAAATATATTTCACAGACGGGACCATTTTATTTACACACAAAGCATTCTGGGTAAATGATGACGTGGATAGGTCATCGGTGCGAGGCTGCTAGCGAGCTATATCCACCCTGAAGGTTAATCTTGGACAATATCTGATGATCGACTCTTTTAAATGAAACCAGAGAGCGTTGACAGAGAGGAGAAGGTAGAAATGACTCAGCCTGGAACTGAAAATATGGATGGAGGACAACAGAGCTGCTTCATGGAAGAAGAACCTCAGCTTAGCCTGTTAGCTTTAGCATTAGTCCCAACGCTACCATATATTAGCTTAGCGCTACACATTCTCCTCTCATCACTGAGGTCCTCCATCCACATGACAGAGAGGGGAACACAAAAAAGACTCAGTCTGCAACTGAAAATATGGATGGAGGACCTCCGTTTAGCTTGTTTGTTGCGCTAGCACCGAGCTAATATGTATAAGACAGTATAGCGTTGGCACTAGCACAAAGGCTAACAGGCTAAGCTGAGGTTCTTCTTCCATGAAGCAGCTCTGTTGTCCTCCATCTATATTTTCAGTTCCAGGCTGAGTCATTTCTACCTTCTCCTCTCTGTCAACGCTCTCTGGTTTCATTTAAAAGAGTCAATCATCAGATATTGTCCAAGATTAACCTTCAGGGTGGATATAGCTCGCTAGCAGCCTCGCACCGAGGACCTATCCACGTCATCATTTACCCAGAATGCTTTGCATGTAAATAAAATGGCCCCGTCCGTGTCAAAATATATTTTAAAAAATTTACAAAACTAAACAGCCTACAGTATTTTTACAGTCTTTATTTTACAGTTAAAATAAATGTTTATCAAATAAAGTCCAATGTTACAACTAATCAGGGATCCCTTTAAGGAACATAAGCCATAGGTGTGCAGCAAAAAAAAAAAAATCACGGTTCGGTTCGATACTTTAGTCTCACGGTTCGAAATTTTTTCGATACAAAAAAGAGAAATTTCCATGCCCTTTTTAACTTGTAATTTATTTAA